ATTATTTAATCAAGTTAGTTTCTAGTTTCAGGTATTTTACCCACTCCATTCACCTTTTAACATTTAATCTTTAGCTTCATTCTGTCTCCTTCTTGTAAAAACTTTTGTCTTTCTCTCTAATGATTTGACTTCATTTTGTCTCACTGATACACTTTAAACTTCACACCTTACAGTTAAGTTAGAATTTAAATCTGTAACTTACAGATCTGTCTCATTCAATTCTAACTTTCTGAGTTCACAGTAGGAGAAAATACAATTTTAATGGACTAATTAAGGAAATCGGTTTTATACTATTAATTTTGTCTGTGACATTAGATTTATCAGATTTGTAAAAATATATCATGAAGTAAAATACAAGTTATCATGATATAACATACAATTTATCATGATGTAAAATACATTATATTGTGATGTAAAATACAGTTCATCATGATATACAGAATAATTTATCATAATATAGAATGAACTGTATCATAATGTAAAGTACAGTATATCATAATGTGAAGTACAGTATATCATAATGTAAAGTACAATTTATAATAATGTGAAGTACAGTATATTATAATGTAAAGTACATTTGATCATAATGTGAAGTACAGTATATCATAATGTAAAGTACAATTTATAATAATGTGAAGTACAGTATTTCATAATGTGAAGTACAGTATTTCATAATGTGAAGTACATTTGATCATAATGTGAAGTACAGTATTTCATAATGTGAAGTACATTTGATCATAATGTGAAGTACAGTATTTCATAATGTGAAGTACAATCTATAATAATGTGAAGTACAGTATTTCATAATGTGAAGTACATTTGATCATAATGTGAAGTACAGTATTTCATAATGTGAAGTACAATCTATAATAATGTGAAGTACAGTATATCATAATGTAAAGTACATTTGATCATAATGTAAAGTACATTTGATCATAATGTGAAGTGCAGTATTTCATAATGTAAAGTACAATTTATGATAATGTGAAGTACAGTATATCATAATGTAAAGTACAATTTATAATAATGTGAAGTACACTATATCATAATGTAAAGTACATTTGATCATAATGTGAAGTACATTTGATCATAATATGAAGTACAGTATTTCATAATGTGAAGTACATTTGATCATAATGTGAAGTACAGTATATCATAATGTGAAGTACATTTGATCATAATGTAAAGTACATTTGATCATAATGTGAAGTACATTTGATCATAATGTGAAGTACAGTATTTCATAATGTGAAGTACAGTATTTCATAATGCGAAGTACAGTATTTCATAATGTGAAGTACAATCTATAATAATGTGAAGTACAGTATATCATAATGTAAAGTACATTTGATCATAATGTAAAGTACATTTGATCATAATGTGAAGTGCAGTATTTCATAATGTGAAGTACATTTAATCATAATGTGAAGTACAG